TGTACTTACCACATTTTGACGTCATCTGTGATCTATTACTGAACAGACGCACGGCAACATGGAATCTATTTGTTAAATATATATATATATATTTGTTGTGAAAGGTGAATTGATCAACATGGCACAAGTGAGAACAAATTGTTCTCAATGTGTTCTCATGGCTCGGTGGATAGAGTGCCTAGCCGGTGTTCAGGAGGTCATGGGTTTGATTCCTGTTGGGGACTCAGATTTTTTTCTTTGTTTCATGTGCACTTGTGTCATGTTAATCAATTCACCTTCCACACGTCATTACTGAGCTTAAAATTCACCATGATCTTTATTCAATTATCTATTTGTTGTTTGGCTCAGGGATGTCATATCCATCACTCGACAGGCATTTATCTGATTTGTCTTGGTTACCAGTTGAATGGCTTATCTCCACAAACATACTAAAATACTTTTTAACTATGTCATGACATCATGTCCTCTAAAGAATCTAGCATTTCACTGAATAAGTAGATATATATAACAATACAATTAATATCTCTTAACATTACAGTTGTTGCTCATCTCACCTCAATGGCTCTTTGATGGTAACTTTTTTTGATTTCAATGGTGGGAATGAGTTGGCATCTTCAGCTTTTTGTTCAGACTCACCAATTCTATCTACTGCCTACAAAATAATAGCACATCAAATTAAATCACAGCATATTTTAAGTTTGCAAACTCTCATTGCAGACTTATTAATTTATGCATTCGATGAGCAAACAACTACCAGGATTTTTCAAGCAAGATCAAAGGAGATTCTGCTCACAGGGTGGCAAACAACTCACATGAGGCAGTATTTCTCTTCTATTTCAAATAAACAACAGCTTTTTAGGAGTTGAAAAGAGGCACAAATTAATCTTACTGTAGAATACTAAACTACTGAAAGAGAGGACACAAAAATATAATAACAAAAGCAATGGATTCCATGTCTTGTCACATTACTTGTAATCTCACAATCGAAGTAAATAAACCATCTACATTTCATGCTTGCAAGAAAATTACTACTTTTTTCTTCTTCTACTAGGTGTNCTCGACAGGCAGTTATCTGATTTGTCTTGGTTACCAGTCAAATGGCTTATCCCCACAAACATACTAAAATACTTATTAACTATGTCATGACATCATGTCCTCTACAAGAATCTAGCATTTCACTGAATAAGTAGATATATATAACAATACAATTAATATTTTTTAACATTACAGTTGTTGCTCATCTCACCTCAATGGCTCTTTGATGGTAACTTTTTTTGATTTCGATGGTGGGAATGAGTTGGCATCTTCAGCTTTTTGTTCAGACTCACCAATTCTATCTACTGCCTACAAAATAATAGCACATCAAATTAAATCACAGCATATTTTAAGTTTGCAAACTCTCATTGCACACTTATTAATTTATGCATTTGATGAGCAAACAACTACAAGGATTTTTCTAGCAAGATCAAAGGAGACTCTGCTCACAGGGAGGCAAACAACTCACATGGTAGCATATTTTCAGAGCCTGCTTTAAAATTTTTGAGGCAGTATTTCTCTTCTATTTCAAATAAACAACAGCCTTTTAGGAGTTGAAAAGAGCCAAATTAATCTTACTGTAGAATACTAAACCACTGAAAAAGAGGACACAAAAATATAATATCAAAAGCAATGGATTCCATGTCTTGTCACATTACTTGTAATCTCACAATGGAAGTAAATAAACCATCTACATTTCATGCTTGCAAGAAAATTACTACTTTTTTCTTCTTCTACTAGGTGTGTTTATGCCTCTATTGTCATACTGTTAAGCTCACTAAGCCCTTGGTAAGGTCTTGACGGTACAGGATAGGGTGACAAAAGTCGAGATTTATCATACATGACCTCATTTTGAAAATGAGATGTAGAAACTAAGGAATGTACTTTAAATTCTCTGCTCCCCCTTTTTGGAGCAAGAAATTTATTATAATAAGCTCCATTCTAATTGGCTGATTGAAGATTTTGGCCCAAGTCCTACTTGATGGGGAATAAGAATAGCCAACATGTGACTCATCTGAAGAACTGTTTGATAAGAATTTGAAACCCTAATATTAACCCTAACAGCTTATTATAATCTTTTACACAACATAATTATACCTGGCCATGGAGAAAGATCTTCTGCTTGGATTTACTCGAACTGGATGTGGTCTAAAAGTTATCAGAAATAAACATCTGTCAATGGCAGGTGCAAAGAAAACAAATTTTGCGCCTTTTGGCATTTTTCATGCTCTCAAACTAGTATTTAAAACATGAGCAGTCAATTCTAATTGTTACAAAAATGTGTTTGACCTACCATGAGGTCCCAAGATTGTTCATATTCACCGACATCCCGCGGTTGAAACTTCACTACAATCTGAAACAAGGACACAAGCATTGAGGATTTACCAGTGCAGCAGAAGGCATAATTATGCACAAAACTCAAACACACTCTGCAGCATTTCTTACAAATACAATAACAATCTTACAATTGAAAATAGCAATATCTTAATTGTTTGCTGATTAGAAGCAACATATCAGGAAAGCTACCTTGTCCCCAGGGATCCCTTCCAGCACCCACTGTGTTGTGGCCTGTGGGCCTTTTGCTCTGGAAAAGTCAGAACCATCAAGCACCACACTCCTTGTAACCTACTCTTTGCTAAAGAAACACAATGCCACCTGGGGACAAGGCAGTCAGGATATCTAAATGTGCATGACAGCTAAGTTTAGAAAAGTGTAGTACTGTTTTTGAAATATTGGCATTCCCCATTTTTGATATCCAACAGTTTCATGACAGTGGCCACTTGCCTTGGGGTGTCAAGGAGACTATCTGGAAAGGATTTGCAATAACAAGTTCTATTCTACCTGCATTGTCCTTCCAGCTTCAGTTGTCCCTCCACGCTTTGCAACACTGAAAGCCAGGTAAGTTGTGCGGCAAATGTTTCCAGAATCATCTACCTGTAGGGCAGCATATAATATGTAATGAATATTTATTTAGATCCATTTATTACAAAAGGAACCTGAAGCTCTAAAAAGATTTTCATGAGTACGTAGTAACTAAAATTTATCAGCAAAATGATATCTATCACCCATATATTTTTAATGTTGTAGAAAAGAAACGTTTTTCTTTTCAGAAAGTGCTGAAAGCATTTTACTTTTGAGGATACCAGAAGCAAATATCTCTCTGTTCCCAAAGGGGACCAAAATTACACCTTTACATAACCTGGTTGGAAATTTGAAATGATCTAAATAATGGGCTTAATGAACGTGAAGTGCAACATTCTTTTTTTAAATCAGTCAATTACTGATAGCACAATACTTTAGCTGTACATGTAGCTAACATAACTTTCTGCAAACCTTGACATACGCTGGTGCTACAGAAGACAAGTTCCAGGTCAAGTCAGCTGAAGCAGTGTTGGTTAGTGATATCTCCGATGCTGAAAGAAAATCAAGTAAAGACAACTAAGAAATGATACACCAGACTTTTTTAATAGTGTTTCTCTAGTTACTAGCATTCCTCTAGATACTTATTTGACAAATTAATGTCAGTTTTTCAAACATCTGTCCTGTTATTGATCATGAGTTTCATCATTACATTGTCAACAGGGTTAGTACCCTTTTACAGAAACAAATTTCCATGACTTTTCTAGGACTTTTTCAGGACTCAGATTGATTTTTCCAGGACTCTAAAATTCACATCAACCCTTTCACTCCCAAGATCTCAATGTTAATTCTCCTTACTGTCTGCCATACATTTAAAATTTTTTTTTTTTTGCTTTTTTATTTTTTTGAGTTTAACAGATTTCCAGAACTTTCCAGGACCAGTAGCCCTTTTCCAGGACTTTCCAGTCCTGGAAAATGCGACAGTAAAATTCCAGGACTTTCCAGGTTTACCAGGACCCGTACCAACCCTGTGTCAAAGTATCTGGATCCACAAGGTGACAGCTGAGTGGATCCGCAGACTACTTTGACAATGTTATGACAAAATTCATTGTCAATAACAGGACAGATGCATGAAAAACTGACTTCAATTTGTTTTTTATGATAAACAAATTGACAAATTGTCCACTCTCGCTCGTTGACACTTCACATTAATTGTAAATTCATGTGTCTGTCCACTTATTGACAATGAAAATTAACCAATAAGCGCATGAGAATTTCTGCAGTTATCATAAAAATACTGTTGAACCCTGCTACTTTTGAACTCTCAGGGGAAATGAAAAATAGTTCAAAATAGCAGGAGTTCGAAATAGCTGATAGTAAATGACTGAAAGGCAAATCCAAGGGAAATAGTTTTGAGTTTGAAGTAATGGGGAATTTGAAATAACCAAGTTTGAATTAGCAAGGTCCAACATACTGTAGACAGATGAAATCATAAATGACACTTCCGACTCACTTGTCACGGTCCCAATCAATGTCTTTTCAAACACAATGTCATTGTTTTTGATTCTCAAGGGAGGTAAGTGATTTGTGGGAAGTGGAGTGCTTCCACCCATGGTGGTAGGTATGGACTGAAAGCTCAATGCACTAGACTGGTACGGAGAACTCTCCAGAACTTGCTCTTCTCTTATTTGTACTCTGATGGACTGAACAACAAACCAAAAATTATTACAGACAACAAAGAGGGACTTATAAGACCAACATTTGGGTAGTAGTAAACATTTGGGTATTGAGCAGAGGGAAGAAGCAATGAAACAATGGGATGGAAGAATGGTTTAATAGCAAATTTTATGGGTGGCTGCTAAGGTGAATGGGAAGATAGTAAGTAGAGTCGAACCTCCGCTTGCGACCACCTCTCCTCAGTGACCAGTTTTCCAAAACAACAAAACTTTCCAAGTCAAATCTCTATCTTTTGAACCTCTTGTAAGCGACCGCCTCTCGTAAGTGACCTCAACCACTTTTAGAGCTAAAAGTTTGAAATTTTCTTTCGCTTTTAACCTCCTGTAAGTGACCACTTGACAGATAATAGAGCAGAAATTGGATTAAATGGTGTTGTAACATCATTGCATTTCTGGGTAGTACAAGAGACGGAAATTTCTCAATGGGAATTCGAAGCAGGTGATGTTTTCTCGAAATTGACTTTTCGCATGAATAAAACATTTAAAACATGGGGTAAACCTCTGCAGTTACCATATGCTAATGAGGTGCAATTTTGATCCAATATGGTCTAAGCTCTCGTAAGCGACCACCTTCCGTAAGTGACCACTGAGGCTTAACATTTTGAGTGGTCACTTACAGGAGGTTGGACTGTAGTGGGATATTAGTACAGCTTCTGCCTAAGTAGTACACCAAAGAACACAAATTTAAGGGAGATACTTATGTTTGAACATACCTGTTGTCTCCCATCACACTTTAAGTAGATTGTACCTCCCCAAGGAAGCTGAGTGAAAGACCCACTAGGATTAGGCTTGGCACTTACTAGCACCCTGCCTTGACTCCTATCCAGAGAAAAGAGGTAGTGGGGGTTAGGAGTACTCAATGTAGTACTTCAAGTACACAGTCATGGGTAACATGCCTTGTTATCAGACTACATTGTTACCTTTTGATGCATCGTTTTACCTGAGTCTAACATGTGGACTGCTTACAATAGATAACTACAGGCCCATTGTTTAAGAGAGGCCAATTTCAACCTTCAACCTCTATTGATACATTAAAAATTAATTGAGAGGACGCAACATGAACAGAGCTCATACAATAGGCCACTTNTATATGGGAGTGCCCCCCAGGGAACAGCACTCTTGGCTACCTCTTCTCTTTTTTGACAGCGTGATGAAAATTGGAAACTTCTATGTGCTTTAATGTAGATTTGTCAAGGTCTTTAATCTGGCTCAGGAAAATCTAAACCAGAGTGTAGTCAAGAGTGACACTAGATAGCAACATGATTAAACTCATTCATGATTACTGCACAGATCTGAAGCCATTATAAATTATGTTAGGTACCTACCATTAGGAATAGGACTTATTTGTGGAGGTTTTACTGACTGTTTATCAGAGACTGGAGTAGGTTAGTTAGAGACTGGTTAGTGCGCTCAACTCTGGAGTAAGCAGTCCAGGTTAGAGCCCTGGCTAGGGACATTGTGTTGTGTTCTTGGGTGAGACACTTTACTCTCACAGTGCCTCTCTCCACCCAAGTGTATAAATGGGTGCCCGCAAATTTAATGCTGGGGGATAACCCTGCGATGGATTAGCATCCCATCTAGGGGGGAGCAGAAATACTCCTAGTCGCTTCATGCTGCAGAAACTGGGATAAGCTCTGGCCTGATGAGCCACTTGGCTCGTATGCAGACTTTACCTTTATCTGAGACTGGTACAATGTCCACTGATCTGTTAGGATCACTTGGACCTGGTGGTGAGCCAACTAGAGTCAACAGAACCCGTGATACACTGCTCTGGAATAAACTGTCCCAACTGGCAACCTTGGGGTATTTCACATCTGAAAGAAAAACCACTGCACTGAACAAAGCTGTCCTTGTAAAGCAATGGGCCAACTAGCAGATGATAAAGGTATCCTAAGTACAAGTCCTGATTAGTCCAAGAGCATATTACATTTTTTAAAAGATTTTATGAGTTTCAAATAATGACTTTTCATTAACACTTAATGCAATTGTAGGAATATATCTGGATCTATTTTTTTTTTCCTTTATATTTTGATACAACAATTTGCTGGTGCCTGTTGATAATATGACACCCAGTTGATGTGGATTAGTGTGGGAAGTGATTGTCAGTAGATAACAAGATATACAACCCCCATCTCATTGCTCCTGTTCCAAAGTGGCCAGGAGCAGGGAGTGGCAACAGTGCTGTAGATGAGGCTGAATTTTGACTAGTAAGAAATAATTGCTGTAAGAAAGGGAGAGTGGATGCAAATTACGGACACAGCAAACCAAGAAGTCATCTTAAAGAGGGAAAGAAGAGATGAACCCTGCTATGAAAATACACCACTTAGTTGCACTTGACAAGAAAACAACTCTACACCTGTAAAAAATGCAAACACCTCCAAAGAATCCATGAGTTGGATTTTCCATTAAAAAATAGCCATTTTTCTGTACAGTGGGAACTGCTTGTCTCCAGAATAAGGTTAGTTAAAAATACACCCTAACTTAAGTGTAGCTAAGTGACTGATGTTATCAGTGTCTCTTACTGTTTTTTAACACTAGCCATGTTTTAGCATGTTAATAAAACCTGAGTGATAGTGATAGGCCATGACTGGGCTGGTTACAGGACACTAAATGTCATACCTTCTACCAGTTTATCTTCATCTTGGAAAGTTGTGGTAAAGTCAATTCCTGCTAAAAGACTACTTTCCATACTTTCTGAAAGGGGCTGCCAGGGGCCTGTCTGAAGATACCTGACATACCATAATTCAGTCAGCATTCTTGCTTTCTAACTACACAGTCAGTGTTTGTCAGTATGAACTTTTTCTTCCTTGTTTCTTAATGAGATGGGCGGGCAAACCCAAATTTTAGCGTTTAGGTAAGCATTACACAAACAGTGGAATCTTGTCCTTCAAGGGCATCCCATACAACACCATAAATTTGTTGCACAACTGTCTGTCATAC